CAGCCCCTCCCCGCGGCCCGGAGGGAGGGACCTGGTTCTCCTCGGAAGTTTCAGGTGAGGAAACCAGGGACACACCTTCCTGGGGGAGGGGCAGGGCCCGCCGGCCCCGCCGCCCCATTGGTGTGAAAGCAGCTCCCGCGTCACATCTGGGAAGCGGCGGCCTGGAGGGAGCCGGTGCGCACGGGCCGGTGCCGGGGCAGGGGACAGCGGCCGGAGGAGTGACCGGAGAAGGGACCGGGAAAGAGGGGGGCCTCCCCTGTGCCCTGTCTGTTGCTGAAATCTGCCCTGGCGTCTCTTTTCCCCTGCATTTCTTCACCTGCGCCTGACACTGGACCACGCTGATCTGCCTTCGGTTGGCTTATCTGTCTCTGGACGTCTGAGTTTCTGTGTTAACATTTCTGAGTTAACATTAAGGCCTCGATGTTAATTCCCTCCCTGTGACCCCTGTAGGAGGAAGGGTGTATCCTGAGTTCTCTCTCTCTCTTTCTCTCTCTCTCTCTCCCCCTTTCTCCCCCGCCCTCTCCCTAGGAGGCCGTCTCTTAGGGCCTAGGAATGCGCATCTCTGAGCCAGCCTGCCCATCTTTCCTCTAGGTGTTACCTGTGCTCATCTAGGATGTCGATGCATCTCGGGTGTTCTCCTGTATTCTCCCCAGGACCTCTGTGTGTGTGTGTTTGTACTGAAGTATCTAAGCCCATGTCCCAGGCCTGTGTGCTTTGCACAGCTGTATTTTTTCCTGCTTCTTTCAGGGAGAGCTTATGTTCTGCTGGTCTGAGTCCAAGCCTGAGTGGGTCTATTTTTATGCATCTCCATAAACTTCAAAGATGCCAGAATGTTCTGTGGTGCAGCCACACACACACACACACACACACACACACACACACACACAGCCCTAGGGGATGAGATTCTTGGTATCTTAGTCAGACCACCCCTACCCCACCCATCACCCCAAAGGTTCCATGCTCCATGCTGATTAAGCCGAGTGGAATCTGCATGGGCTCTCTGGCTAGTTTGTTCCTGGGAATGACAAGATCTATGAGCCCAAACAGCTAGCGGGTTAGGCCCTTTCCAGATCACTGTGCCCACTGGCTGCTGTGTTGAAGCCGCTGACCATGTCTACTAGGTTTCTGAAGGGGACTTTAGGATAGAATGTAATTAAGGCAGAAAGGTATCTTCTCCAATAAAGTCCCGAAGCATCTCTATGTTCAAAGAATGTGCTGCTTCGACTACACTCCTCTGAGGGGGTAAGCCCTAAACCGTTCAGCAGCCTTCAGCCCTCCCTATGCTGCTGTGGAGGTGTGGGAAGCATGGGGGGAAACCAGGACTAGGAGTTCAGCGATAAAGCCTAGCATGTGCCATAAGCTCAGCAAGGGGATAAAAGTGGTGAGTGCATTAAGTCAAAAAGTTCGTTGCAGCATTATTTGCAACAGCCAAGATATGGAAGCAACCCAGGTGTCCACTGATAGAGGAATGGATAAAGGTTATATAAACATGCACACACACACTGGAATATTATACAGCCTTGAAAAGAATGAAATCTTGCCACTTGAGACAACATAGATGGACCTGGAGAGTATTCTGCTAATGAAATAAGTCAGACAGAGAAAGATAAATACTGTATGGTTTCACTTATATGTAGAATCTAAAAAAACAAAGCAAATGAACAAAACATAAAAACCCAGATTCATAGAAACAGAGACCAAAGAGATGGTTGCCAGAAAGGAGGGGCTGGAGGGGTGAGAGAAAAAGGTAAGGGGGATATAGTCATAATATTGTGATAACTTTGCATAGTGACCAATCATTATTAGAATTGGTGGAATGATCATATTGTAAGATATAAAAACAATGAACCACTATATAGTATACCTGAAACTAATATAATATTGTAAACAAACTATACTTAAATAAAAATTTTAAATAAAGAAAAGAGTTAAGCTAGAACTGCCTCTATTTCTAGACTGGGAGAGCGCACTTCATCCAGGGTATGGGTGAGCAAAGCTAGTGAACTCCGGATCCTTGGGCGGCAGTTGCTGACCTCTGCTGTTCCACGCTGCCTACTTGGAGTGGCCGTGTGGTCAGAGGTGCTGGACCGGCCTCCACACCAGCCTGGCCATCCTTCCTGCCCCACTCAGGCCCTCTTGGCTCTCCTGATTACAGCTCTCTGTCCTTTTGTTTCCTCTCTCAGGTCTCATGGACTTAACCTCCTCTTGTTCTGCCAGCTCTGACCTATCAGCACTTTTGTTTAAGTCACCACCCTCGACTCAGTGACCTCTGAGCTCTTATCCAGAGAGTTAAGCATACAAGGCTAGACTTGACTTTTCAAGTAGCAGTGAGGTATAGGAAAGTTGGGACTTGTCCCTTAGGGAGTTAGCTCTCCCCATGGAGCATCCTGTCTGCAGGGCATGTGCAAACTGGGGACCAGTGGAGCTCTTTGCTTTGCAAACTATGATTCCCTCTTTTTCTTTCCTTTTCCATTTCCTGATACTGGTTCTTGGTGCCTGGGCTTCTTAATCGGGCCTGTCTCCCTATCCTAATATTTTAATAAAGGAATTACAGTGACCTTTTGTCAAGCAGGAACTCGTCAGAATCATCCCTGGGGCTATCACTGCCCTGATCAGATATCCTCCTGGTGACACCATCCATGTCATTGGCGGTGGCTCTCCCATCTGGCTAACTCTGACTCTCAGCAGATCCAGTGCTCGTTCTTTGAAAACTGCTCTGGCCTTTTCAACTCTGCTCTTTGTCTGATCCCATGACCTACCTCTGAACCTTTTGAACCGATTTTGAATTCAGTTTTCTTAAAACTTGGCTGAGCACAGTCTCTCCATCTTTCTCCCTTTGGGTCCACCCTGACGTGGCTGCTGTCGTCCTTAGCCACCCAGTGCCATCGTGATGGACAGTTTTTCTTTTCTCATCCCTCACACACTGTCAATAGCCTAAGTACAGTGCTGTTCAAGGTATAAATACCATTCACCTCATTCATTGCCTTTTGTTCATTTACTCAATACGCATTTTTAGAAACCAAATATACAAAGACCAGGTCTCTGCCCCCAAGGAACAGAGGAAAGACACAGGACAGCAGAGTGTGCTAAGGGTCATGCAATGGTGGCATAAAGGAGAGAGCGTTGCCTGGGGAGTAAGAGAAGGCGGAAAGGATACAGTGACACTTGAGTTGACTTGTCTTAGGAAAGCACCGTGTTACTCGGTGCCGAAGAGGACACCAACAGTGGAAATGGGACATACAAAAATAGAAGCCTGAGCGTACTTGGTTCAGGGAAGAGCAAACAAAAATAGAAGCCTGAGCGTACTTGGTTCAGGGAAGAGCAAACGGTGTGGTTAACACAAGGTGGGCGAAGACATGGCAATGAAGCAAAAGACAGTAACTATGAGAGGTGACGGATATGCTAATTAGCTCAACTGATCATTTCACAGCACGTGCATATCAAAATATCAAGCTGTACACCTTCAATATATACAGTTGTCAATTATACCTCAATGAAGTGGAAAATTCCTTTAGAGGAGCCACACCTCTGGAAGTGTGAAGTCCAAACTCAGTAGCATGCATGGCCTATAAGCCCTTCATGAGCTGCCTGCCCACACTCTCCCCAGGTCTGATTATTCTGAACACAGAATGATCTTGGCTCTTCCCTAATTGGTCAAACACTCTCCTTCCCTTCAGTATAAAGTTTCTGGCTTTATCCCCAGTTTCAGGTCCTTGATGTGTTTCTGGAAGTGTCCTGTTCCAGCGACCACAGTCCCCAGTGACTGTCATTAGCTACAAGTATCCCTTTCTCACTTCCATCCGTATTATCCATTCCCCTTCCAACTGCAGCCACAACTCCTACAGCTGCACAGTAGGGCCCCTGTCCCCCTCCTAACAGTGGACCCAGAGCACCTGCTGTTACTGTGCACCTAGGCTTCCACTTACCTGCCCTCATCTCCCTGTGGGAGTAGAGGGGTCCTAGTGACAAAAGATAGAGGGAGTGGCCAGCTTTGATTGCTGTGTCACAGTTTTGATTGCCAAAGAATGAAAGACACAAAAATAGCGACAAGAATAAAGATGAACAGAGAGGGAGGTGCCATTCACATCAGTAGAAACACCTTTCTGTTTCCCTTATGACACAGATATTCTTGCCTCCACGGCTCCCTCAAGACAGGGATACTGAAGACATTAAAGGCATAGAAGCAAACATTAGAAAGAAAAGCAGAGTTAGGAGGACAGTTCAACCCTATCCTTGCAGAGTGGTCAAACAGCTCCTAGGTACTGGCCAACTGGGGTTAGCACCATCTCAACTACTCAGGCTACCAACTAAGGTTATTAAGTGTTTACTTTAGGTTGCCTGCCCTCAGGATATCATTGATACGCATAAATTTGAGGTAGGATGCTCCTTGTTCTAGGTTATACAAAGGCAATTATGACACAGGCTCTGTCCCAGAACAACTTGGAAAATGTAGGTGGAAATGGTAAAATACTATCCTAAACAATCTCTGATAAGTCTAAAGAGAGGCAATAATAATAATGCCAGGGAAATTCAAAGGAAAGTATGATT